ACACTGCTGAGGGGAGCAGCAGGGAGACAGGTGAGGTCTGCAGTGCCCTGGGAGTCAGGCTGTAGTGGCTGGCGATAGATTGCTAGTGCTGAGAATTTAACCCCAGAGCTATCAGGGAGGACTCAAAATGATGCAACTCTAATCTGGTTTCCTTACATTAGTTTGAAAGCAACATATTAGCTTTTAATATTAGGACACAATTGGAAAAACAGTATATGCATACTGTCAGTTACATCCTTTTTATCTGAAACTTTTCAAATAAAGTCATTTTTATTCTGCCTGGAAGTAGTCCTTCAGAGTTTTTGCCTATAATTTAAGGACGTAGGAGGATATTTTCAAAAGGAGCAGAACAGCATGCCCACAGATCCTCTCAGAATAGTCCACTGCCTGTCAATGTCCACGGTTAACGCTGAGGTGAAACTGTCAGCAGCACTGCTGCACCTCCCAAGGCCTTTACTCACCGAGGCACTTGTGTGTGTGTTTTCAAGAAATTCTATAAACTTATATTACTTGTTTAGTTTCTAATCTGCAGATACAATTTCCTTATATTTTCAAAATATAAAAAACATTCTGGCAGGTTTCTTTCCCTCATGGCTTGTTCTCCTCTTTGGATTGTCTTTTATTGCAAGACGCTAAAAACTGAAAAATATAAAGGGATTTTTTTCAAGAGCTAGGAGATGATGTCGATGTCCAGAGATGATGGTTTACATTTACTTCTAGTTTTTTGGTTGCAAAAGCACAAGAGCCAGTGTTAGGTTTCAGCCTCAGGGAATGTGATTTTTTCCAGTTCTTCCGACTCCACTCAGCGGCCCTGGTTAGACAGGCAAGCAGCAACCCCAAGGTCCCAGCTGCTCGCTGCTATGTGGGGCTCAGATTTCTGAATCTCTCAGCTTACCTGACTATCAAAGACAAGTTCCCTCTACAATAATTTCTCTTGACACAGGCAAACAATTAGGTCTGGCTGGTACAGCTGTGAAGTCTTCAGAGGGTAGTTAGCCCAGCACCCCAAAGGATATAGTCCATTCCTTCTGCCTTCCATTGTTGGGAATTCACGCACCCCTTCTTCCTTAATCAGCATGTCTTTTCTCTCTAGTTGCTCTTCTGCTTCCTGGTGTTCCAGTCTTCTTCCAGATGATCTCCTCAGCTCTCACAGCTTGCTATCTTCCTCAGCTACTCAGTGTGTGCTTTTACTGGTCACTTAGTGTACTGTGACTGATTTTTTTCACTTCTTGAAGTTCTAAGTTTTCCTGATTTTTTATAGTGTTGTTTTGTTATGGTTTCTATTCCTTTTTAAAAGGTCTAGTCATTGTGACCATTTTGTGGTACTTTATTTCCTCTTGTGGCTATAAGCTCAACTTCTGTGCTGAGGTTGTAAATGCTTCTGTAGTGCAGTCTTTATTTTTGCCAGGAGTGAACAGGGTTTATGCTAAATAAATTCTCCTGTACCTGCAGAATATAAACTTACAATCTACACGAGCTTAGTGGGACTGGGATTCTCCAACAAAGAGGCAAAGAGACAAAAGTCCAGACCAATTTTTCCACACAAATGCTTTGCCACTTCTTTGGGCTGAACTTTCTGGTGCTGGTTTTGCATCTTTCCAAGGTTAGATGAATGTGAATATCTATGTGCGACCCATTCATCACAAGCAATGAGGAATGTTCCAGCTTACCTCCGTGTGAGCATATTCCCTGCCCACAGTGATTGATTAAACTCTAGCCCTTGGTATAAACTTGCAAATAGCCATGGTAAGAGCCCTGAACTTACTTCAGTTCCTACTTTCCTGTTGTTTGGAAATTTCCTTTTCTGACAAACTGTATTACTTAAACTTTGGTTATATTTTATTTAAAGATTTATTTATATTAATTTATACGTACAAGAACTGTGTACTTGGGTGCCAGAGGTGTGAGGGGTTGAGAAGATTCACCAGAGACAGAGTGGAGCGCAGAACAGGAGAAGTCTGCTGTGCCATGTGGGTTACCTCCCTGGACAGGGATCCAATTCAGACCACTAGCTGGCGATAGCTTGATAGAGAGGAGACTTTAACCCCTGTGTCACCTGCAAGGCTCCTGTTTTGGTTACATTTCAAATATGTCTATGTATGTGGTGTGTGTGTGTATCCATATTAGTCCTGGAGATGTGATTCAAATATCCAGAGTCCTTTTACTCTGGGACCTTGTCACAGTTTGAAGTCAATATTATCAAAACATCTATCTGTAACCTGTATCATTCAGTCACTGCAGTGAGCCCAGGGATTTTATTTGTCTCCAAAGGATTAGGCTCCTATCATTTAATAGGAAGGAATAAATGTTGTAGAGGAGCAATTTCAAAAGACAACATCTGGCTAACAGTTGGAGACTTCAGGATGGATGGGTGCAGACTGACAAGGGGCTTTGTTGGAAGTAGAGTCATGAAAAGACAGGCTTGTATGAGCAGCACACTATCTGGAAGAACTGTCAGAAGGAAAAGGTAAGAATCTGTAGCCAATGTGAAAGTTTTCAAAAAGCCCTATGAAGGAACCTACATTTCATCCTTACTGGCTTTTTTTTTTAAGTTTTATTGATTTTTGCATACAGAACTGGGGTACAGGCCAGAGGAGCAGGGGTGTAGAAGGATTTGCAGAGACACAGCGGGGAGCAGAACAGGCAGATCGACAAAGTACACTGCTGAGGGGAGCAGCGGGTGAGACAGGAGAGAGAGGTCTGCTGCGCTATGAGGGTCAGCTCCCTGGCCGGGGATGGAACTCGCACTGAAGTGGCTGCGGTCAGCTCGCAGTGCCACTACACCACCAGGGAGGGCCTCATCCTGACTGGGTTCAAGCAAAGCCCTTGAAAAACTAAGGTGACAACATGAAAAAGCTAGACCTGCTAACAGAATCACAACTCTGGCACATACCGATAGAACAGGTTAAAAGAAGCCAGAAAACAGGGATTTTACTTTAATAGCAGGAAGAGACACAAAGACTTTCTGGCCTAAAGCACATGGTAAGGATATTTAAAAAAGGCATGAGTTAGTTTGGAGTTTCCTCAAACTGCTAAACATGGAGCTTCCATAGGACCCAGATATCTTTTTGGATCTACCCGAAAGATATCTGCACCCCCATGTTTATGCTGCTTTATTTACAATTGGAAAGACATGGAAACAGCCCAAATGCCCAAAAATGGATGACTGGATTAAAAAGATGTGGTACATATACAAAATGGATTATTACTCAGCAAAAAAAAGAAACACATGTCTTTTGCAGCAACATGGATGGAGCTGGAAAAGATCATGCTCAGTGAAATAAGCCAGAAAGAAAAGGAAAAATACCAGATGGTTTCACTAGTAGCAGGAGTATAACGGAACAGGCAAGAAAATAATAGTAATAATGAACAGCTATAGACCAGAGACATTTATGCCGGCGGAGTGGGGAACGGGATTAAAGACGGTGGGGGGAGGGAAATGCACTGGACTATGGTGATGGCACAGGGTGATTTGGTGATGGGAAGCCCAAGGGGATTCCAACTAAGATGGAAAAAGGCACAAAATGATGTAAAAATAAACTATTTTATATATACATATATATACACCTATTAAAAAAAAGTGGGAGGAGATGAATCAGACATTTTGAAGACAGAATACAGGGTCTTGTAGATTGCCAAATTTGAAAACAAACAGGAAGTCCAGTTAAATTTAAACTCTGGAAAACAAAATTTTAGCACGTCTCTGCATATCTGAGATGCACTTATACAAAATATTTAAAACCTTTATACAAAAACTACTGTCTACCTGAAATTCTAATTTAGTGGAGTGTCTTATATTTTATCTAGTGTACTACCTGTAGCCTATTATCCGTGGCTGTTAACAGCGGGATCTGAAACCAGGGAGGGGAAACGCCTAGATACATAAAAAAGGTTAAAACTAATGAACGAACACAAGTTGGCTGGCAAAGTAGAAACGTGCGCTTACCTGCATAGTAACTAGTCTGTCATCCACCATCACCTCTTTTGTCAGAAAGTCTGCTCCTATTGTGGCTTTGTACTGATTGCTAAATTTCTTGTTCACATACTGGTTCATGAGTGATGTCTTACCAACTCTGAAATTGGAGAAAACCCACAAGTATAAGTCAATTAGGAAGGAAATGAAAACCGATGGACATTTAAAGCTCTGAAGGAACCTATATGTCTTAAAGGAGAACAGGGAACTACCCTCACAACAGAGAGCAGCGCCAGCAAACTCCCTAGATTACTTATTTGAGCCTGTACTTGTTCCTGGGATAAAAATACAGGATACAGATGTGTGCCAGATGTTGAAAAGTTGCTTACTTGAGAAGCTGTTTTAGTACAGACAACTGAGATGGTATGCTTTTTCCCTCCATAAGGATACCAGCAAATACTCTCCTTCTAAAAGAAGCTTTAACAGTAAGATCCCTCCACTATTCTAAAAATATCCCGTGGCTGCTATTTAGTTCAAGAAGTAATAACAGGAGGCCATTGGCTTTGAGCAGTCTTCTACACCAGGCAGCTGACCTGCTGCTTCAACATTTAAAATCCAAAGCAGAAAAAGCACAACATACCAGTAAACTAGAATCTACCTCAACATAATCTCCTCCAGGGATGTTTTTCAGTAGGAAAACTCAGCAAGAGACAATTGTGATTTTTTTTTTTTGTAATGAGTTCAGTGAGGGCACGGCTAAAGATAATACAAACAACGTCCTCAAAGTCAGTGATTTTCTTTCCCACAAAGGAACACATTCATTTTCATCCATAAACCAGAAGAAGATACATAGCTAAGGTAGTGTTCTTTAACCCAAGTTACCTGAATAAAAATGTCTAAAGGCAAAAAGCCATGAATTGAACAAGGGCTTGGTGGTTCTTTTCAGCGAAGTCTGGGTATCACTGACCTAGCAGCAGAAACTTTCAATTCTGATTGCCCGTCAAAACTGAATACCAGGAGAAAAAAGAGGGAGCAGGGTGAGAAGAGGAAACAAGTAGAGAGAAAGGGGTATATGGGAAGAGGAAGAAAGCCAAGAGGAGGGGAGAGAGTGTGCTTCAATCTTGCCAACAGGCCCCCAACCACCAGGCGGGGCATGTACTAACTTTCAAAAGTTAATAGAAGGGATGGGGAAAAAACAGTCACAGTAGAAAAATCACTGGCTTTTTATAATACAGATAGGAAACTTAGGAATAAACTTACTAATTTTTCACTATGTAGTGACTCTAGTCGAAGCTTTCAGAGGTCATTTTAAACACGTCTGGAAAACCTTCCACGGCATCTTCATTAGCTGCTACAGAGTTAGCTACTTGGTGAGCGGCAGTGCTAGGATCAAACCCAGTTCTCCAGTCCCAGGCTCTTTCCAACCCAGGCCTGAATCAGGCACAGCGGAAGGATGATTCCTATGGGGTGAACCCTGAACCCACACCTAGGAGGATGACGCCACAGCAAAACACCTGCAGAGATGGACCCTGGCTCACAAGCTTGGGAAAAGGACCCATGAAACTATTATTAGCTGAGTCAAAATACCCAACCTGTTTCACAACCCCTGCCAAAAATTGGAGAATGATGATAAAGCATCACTAAAAATTTCTGCTGTGCCCCCAACAGCAGGTAGGCCTAGACATGGCAGACATCAGCACAGAAGAACACGGGCTCTGAAGAGGTGAAGTTTAAATCCAAGCCAACCTGTTCGCTCAGATGTAGGAGAAATACTTACCCAGAGTCTCCGAGGATGATAACCTTCAGCAACACTTTCTTCCTCGAGGTCATCCTTCAAGCTGGAGGAAGGCAGGAGAAAGCACCATGAGCACAAGGCACAGTCACAGGAACCACCTCCCCGGGAGCATAGTGAAAGCGCCCCAGGGCCCCGTGTCCCGAGCTTCCCTGCTGGCAATCTCACTGCCGTTCCAGGGTCCTCGGCAGTCATGAGAACTCGGGACCAAGACTAAACACACCGGTGTGGCATTGTGGGTTACGCCCCAAGTTAGTTAACAGCGTGTTCCTGTTTCGCGCATGTCGCTCACACCGCTTCCTGGGCTTGCTATCGAGTGCCCGCCCTATCCCGCGTACATACACGCTCTTCCCCTTTACTCTGCCTTTCTTTGTGGGCACAGTGCCCACCAGAGTACTCCTCCCTTATCCATGGGGGCTATATTCCAAGTCCCCCAGGGAATGGCTGAAACTAGATTTTACTGAACCCAACATACACTGTTTTCCCCACCCCTACTGACCCATGCTAAAGTGTGTAAATTAGGGGCAGTGAGATGAACAACATCGAGGAATGCTAAAACAACAATGATCACAATGACCGTAACCGAAGCGCTGTGAATGTGGTGTGTCTTACTGCTTAAGGTGACCCCTTACTGCACCCACTATTTTCAAGGGGCAAGTAACAGACACCGCAGAAGAGCAAGACCAGAGACGGGTCGCTGCGCGTGGCATTTCGTTGCCAAGGAGAGAACTGTCAAATACTGGGTTAATCTGTGACTAACACTTAACGTTGCCACTCTGGGACCACCTTTTTCCAGGAAATCTTTTGGATAGTCTTCATTACCCCTGGAATTTAACAACCTGAAGATGCCAAAGCTTTGTTCAACTCCCTTTTAGAATTTGTCACATCAGTCTGAGCATCACTGATGTTCCAAAGACAAGCAGTTCCAGAAAGCTGGAGTCCTAAAACCTGGACTTTGACAGATGTGGCTTTAAGACTGTGGGAGAGCTGCAACCAGACTAGGCGGCTGCTGTTCTCTAGAAATCAGTGCTCAAGACCACAGGGTTGAGTCCTCAAAAATAACATTTCTATCCTCTGAGCTTTGGCCCACTGTCCTCAAGGCCTGATTCTCCGAGTCACTAGGCAAGGGTTCACATCTGGCTATCGCCTTCTGTGTGGCTGGGAGAAGTGTGAAAACCTAAAACAGGGAGGTAGCAAAATGCACTCAACGAAGCAGCTGCAGTAGCTGCAGTTATTCTTTCGTGGTTGGAAGGCTGAGACAGTCAAGGCTGGGAGGCTGAGACAGTCAAGGCTGGGAGGCTGAGACAGTCAAGGCTGGGAGGCTGAGACAGTCAAGGCTGGGAGGCTGAGACAGTCCAAGTTGGGTCGCAGAAAGGCTCTAGTTTCATCTTCTTACCACCTAGCTTCCTGAGGCAGAAGCTGGCAATACTGCCCAGAGTGGGTGCTACTTAAGTACGCAAATACTGACCCTAGGCTTACCTAGATTTTTATTCACTTAATAGCTTTGTCACTTAATAGCTGTGTGACCTGGGGCAAGTCACTTAAACCTCTCTGGTGAGATAGGGATAGATGGATAAAAGCCCTAATGTCCCAAGTGCTGTGAGGCCTGCAGGAGTCAAATGTTCAGGACAGTGACTGGGATATAGTGAAGTGGTCAGTAACGTTGGCTACTTTCATTTTTAACATGTGCAAAGGCAGTGACGAGTAGTAAGTAACAGAACATGGAGTCCAGAAGGCAATGAGGGAGCCAGTAGGTCAGAGGACTCAGGCAAGGTGACCGCAATGAGCTACATTCCCTCCATTTCCATGCCTGACAGTCAACTCTCTTTCAGCAGGTGTTATCACACCACAGGTCATAAAGTGAAAAGAAACTTTAGAACTGGCTAGCGGCCCACAGGGCAGGACTAGATACCCGAGTCCAATGCACTCAAACTGGCGTTCTGCATGGATGGCTCCAGACACCCTGGAGGCGGAGGCAAACCGCAGGCTCCATGACCTTCTGAGGATTAGGTGGCTTCTCTGCCCGAAGCCACAGCCTCAGGCTGGATTATAATGACATCCCATCTCGTGGACTGACTGACTGACTGACTGACTGACTGACTAAAGTTCTTACTATAGTTATGAAGACAGGATGTTTTACTTGTTTCCAGTCCAGTACACACTTTAGAGAAGTTCCCACAAACGTTATCTCAACCAAAATTTAAAAGGGAGAGGAATTACTTCCTGGTGCACAGTAGCCTGTGATCCTTTAGCAGTTAAAATCAAAGGAAGCAAAAATCTGTAAAAGGCACAAGACATAAAGAAGTGTGATGATTTTGTCATAGAGCATTTATTAATAAAGTTAAAAACTAAGTCCCCAATCCTTGCCCAGCAGGTAGGTTTGGGAGACTTGAACAAGGGAACTGATAAAGTTGCTAAGGGAGCCAGACCTTAAGACCTGATCCCTGTCTGACTGCAGAAGCAAGGCCAGGACACATCTGAGTCTCAAAGGTCAACACCCAAGCCATGCCATCCCATCTTACAGGGCCCAAACTGGCACTCCAAGTAAGAAATCCCATGAAAACAGAGTACAAAAGAGAGCCTCAAATCCCCGCACAGACCGCTCCTGTCCCGTATTCTACTCCTTTGCAGGGTATTTCAACAAATCAGCCTTTTCTGTTCTCCGTTCTGTCGCAGGTGAATCCTTTCCCCGCCCCCATATAACTCTCCCCACCAGAAACATCTCTGGTCTTTTTAACTTCTCCCCAAATAACATGGCTTCCAGATCCTGCCACTTTCTAGTTGCCTGTCTCTGGTTGGATTAGGTTCAAAACCAATCACTACTAAAACATGCCACAAGAATGTCACCTAAGGATTAAGAAGGAAGGCAACTAAGATAATGCTCTGCCAAAAAGACACAATGATTTGTGGCCCTCTGTGAGTCTAAAAGATAATCACATTATAAAGTTTTCATCTAGGGAAGACTGTACAATGGAAGGATGTGAAAAGGAATCGGAATAGTAGAGAAGTGTGATCATGAAAAAAAAAAAAGATGAGGAATGCTATTCTAGACCTGAGCTGACCTACACAGTAGTTACTAGCCACAGGCAGTGAGTTAAGCAAAATAATTACAGTTTATGTGCTCAATAAGCAGCTGCCTAGGGCTAGCCGTTGCTGTCCCAGACCTTGCAGATACAGACTCTTTCCATCACCACAGCAAGTTCTACTGTACAGTGCTGACCTAACAACTCCAGATATTTTACTAGGTATTAATAGACAGGCCTCATACATCTCAAGTCCCAGTTTATGGCTACTTCATGGTTATCTAACCCATCTTTTTTTACTTTTGAAAACACAACAAAGATAATAGTTTCACCAGGGCCAACATCTGAACTGGTCATGGGATACCACGCTATAAGCAGCAGGACAAGTGCGCACTGCACTCACTTCTAAGTATTTGTGGCCATTTCTCCTAGCAGACCAGTGTCAAGCACTGAGAAAAAAAGGGTGTCCTTGGCCCTTCCTGGTGGCGCAGCAGGTTAAAGCACAGCACAAAGAAGCTTAAGCCACTTCCACATGAGTTCGATCCCCGCCTGCCC